ACACACACACACACACACATACACACACACAAGCCGCAGTCTCCTCAAAATGAATAGCTAAATAAATAATAATAACAGACAAAAAAACACCGTCTCTACAGCCTTTTCGTCTCTCTCCCACAGGTGGTGAAGTTGGGGCGTCGGTGGGCTCAGCCTCGGGGGGGAAGCCCCTCCTCGGCGTGGCAGGCAGCACTAAGCGGAGCCACATCCATGTCGCAGGGCCAGGTAGCCGCCGCAACGGACGCCACCCCGCACGAGGCATGCAAGCTGTTCTGTCTTCTTCAGCACCAACGCCACGCCACCGCACCGCCAGCCTTGGGAGGGGGAGGGGAGGGGAGGAGCTAGGAAGGAGAAGAGGGCAAGAGGAAAGGAGGGAAGTCGGGCAAGAGGGAGGAGGAGAAAGAGGGCAAGAGGGAGGGAGGATGAGCTAGGTAAGAGGAGGGGAGGGTCTAGGAAGGGGAGGAGGTGAGGTGCGAGCTAGGTAAGAGAAGGTGGGGGAGCGTGTAAAGGGGGAAGCAGGTTGGCTTTCCGGGAAGTTCGGAGGGAGAAGGGTAAAATAGGGAGACAGGATGAAGTCTAGGAAGTTGGGGGAGATTAGTGGAGGAGGAGGGGGAGGATCAAGGATCTTGGGAAAGAAAGAGAGAATAGGGGGGAAAACGTAGTGGGTTTTGGAACAAAATAGGCCTGGGAACACAGGGTGGGACCTAATAAGTTGGCAAAAGAGTATATGAAACGAAAAAAGGTCTTAGGAGACAGAGAACGGTCTATGGAGTTTAGAAAAGACCTAGAAAGATATAAAAGATGAAGTTAGGAAAGGACCTAGACAGAAAGGGAGGGGAGGGTCGAGGGAGTGAGGACAGTGGATGAAGATGAGGCAAGGGAGGATACAGCGAAAGGGTTAGTACTGTGGCCCAGCGTGAGGTCAGTAGGGCTACGATGCAGGTCTTCGGATAGTATCATTCTAAATTTTACTCCATAAATGTTGTAGGATTTTTTTTATTACAGGAGTGGGGATCATATACACAGAGAGGGAGAAAGAAACCTTCAGTTTGGCCTTGGTGATATTTGCTTTTCAAGTTAACGTAAAAAGGATGGGATATAAAGGAATATGGATTAGAATTGTCATAAGAGAAGTTCATCGGTGCAGTGAATGAGCATTGTACAAATAGTAAATGTTATAGCAAGAGAGAAGCAAATACTCATACATTAGGTAAAGAGACAATTATAAATATGTGATCAGTAAGACTGCAGAGTTTAGGAGTTGCAGAAGGCACCATAGAGAGGCTGACAAGCGCCCTTAGAGATCAAGCAACTAGTTTAGGCAGAGTTAGGGTCAAAGGTCAGGTACTGAAAGGTTGGTCATCTAACCAGGTGTCAGGCTGCTGGTGGCTGGCCTCTAGTATTAGACCTTAGTGCTTAGAACTGTTTACTCTTATTTTACTATGTATGTTCCGCAGCTAGCAAAAATACGCGCCATACAGTGAGCATCTCTAAGGTCAGTTTCCCTGTAGAAAAATATGGAATATCGCCCTTATTGATGTGGAACAGAGCCATGACACCGGGTGTCTGTGATGCAAAACAAACAGCTCTTTTATTTCCTCATTCAAATGTTTTTGCTCGTTCAAAAATATATATTATTGTCATTTTGTGGATCTTCTTCATTAGCAGTTTGATCATTCCTACACACAAGTCCCGATTTTGATGTTGACTCGCACTCATGTAGAATTTGCAGTCACTCGTCACGAGTTTCTTTTTGTCTTTCACGCACCATTTTAGTGAATGACAGTGCGTTTTGTAGCATTGATGAGACACGAACAGTCGACTTGTTCAGCACTTCTTTGTATAAGTTCGAGCACGAATACGCTTCTTGGAAAACTATAATTCTGGCCATTAGCCTTTATTCTAAGTTGAGATGAAAGCTAGATTTGATATACGTCTTTGAGTCATATTTTATATTTTAAAAAATCATACATGCAAAACAAACATGCATATATATATATATATATATATATATATATATATATATATGAATATATATATATATATATATATATATATATATATATATATATATATATATATATATATATATATATATATATATATACAGTATATATATATATATATATATATTATATATATACATATATATATATATATATATATATATATATATATATATATATATATATATATATATACGTATATATATATGTATATAGTGCTCGTAGTGTAGTATGTTTATATTTGACTGTTTATAAATAGCTTATCATCCCCAAATGAACGATGAACTGCTTGCCGCCCATTGGCCTCACCGAAGCGCAGCGCCCTCGGCTGAGGCTGCGAAGGCGAGCGAGAGCTGTTGCGTTGCCTCGGCCCCGCGTGGACGGCCGGCCTCGCGAGTTGCGGCTGCGCGTTGTCTGGTTCCTTTTCGGATTATAGTTAATTACTGTCATAGTAGCTCAGGCACTGCTCTGTGTACATTTAAGTAATGCTTACAGTGACAACTTAGGTTCACTGCTACACAATGCTATGCTTCATTATAATGACACGTCTCACTGCTGTACACTTTTCCTTTCGTTCCATAACACTTTTCTTCGAAATTCACCTCCATCTTTGCTCTCTCACTTTGTTTTTGTTTTGTTTTTTCTTTAATCTATTTATCGGTCTATCGTTCACTGTCTTGTATATCTTTTATTTCCATTTCCCTGCCTCTTTCTAAAACCTTTCCTATCTCTCTCTCTCTCTCTCTCTTCTCTCTCTCTCTCTCTCTCTCTCTCTCTCTCTCTCTCTCTCTCTCTCTCTCTCTCTCTCTCTCTCTCTTCTCTCTCTCTCTCTCTCTCTCTCTCTTTCTCTCTTTCTTTCTCTCCTGTTATCATTATGTTCTTTCTCACACTCTCCAACCTAGTTCCTCCTGTATTGTTTCACATCACATCACACTCGTATGTGACTGAACGTAGTATAGTGGATGTATGTATATATATATTTTTTTTTCATTTTGCTGCAGTAGGTGGCATTAACACTTTCTCGTAGTCTGCCGAGTAGTCCTATACTAGTCTGTTTTATTAATCATAGTTATGTAGAGTAGCGCCTAATAATCTGTTTAGCACAGTGCTCGGTACAATCCTGCATATGTACCCTCAGCTTCCAGCCATTTTTTACTGTATATATTTTATATATTGTAAACTTTGTATACAATGTACTATGTCCCCACCCCCCCACCCCTCCCACAAAGTACTGCACTGTACTTTAACTATTTTATCCCATTTGTGTAGAAGTATCCCTTTTTTACTGATTATCGAAGAAGTCATCACCACTCTATTGATAGCATGTTAGACCCCTCCGATGTCTGGTATCTCACAAGTTGACATGAAATCGTGGGACTCCATCGTACACTGTTAGATGGTAGACGATGAATATGTTGGACAACTCTTTGCGTTGGGGAGGGAGTGCCACGCCAAATGGCACTGGAAACAATAGGTTAAATTGCTCCGCTGCGTTGCATTAGATTATGCGGTGAACAATTTGATGTTAAACTGAGTATTAACATAAACTGCAACATGATAATGGGTATATTAAACTCCAACGCAAATTGTTTGTTTAAACTCATTGCAATTATTATTAATAAACTAAAATACCCTTTTTTTACCAAATGGTATGTTAGACAGTATTGTATACATATTTTCTATCCACATACTTAACATTTGTTGGTGTTGTTAATATTGCAAAATATCTAATATTAACACCAACTGGAAGCTGCCACCTGACCTTTCATCATCATTCTCCATTTTTTTTTTATTAACTTCCTAGGGTCATCTGGCGGTCAAGTTCCTCCTCTCCCCCTCTCCCCCTCTTCCCCCCTCTGCCCCCTCCCCCTCCCCTCTCGCCCTCTCGCCCCACCCTTGCCCCCAATTAGAGGTTGACTCCTGTCCCCTCCCTCTTTTTCATTATTCTTATCCCGACCTTACTTTTAGTTTTTATTCAGGGGTCACGTCGGGGTTTATATTTACTTCCCTCCCTCCCCTCGCCGTCACCTGCTTTTCCCGACTCATCTCCCCTTCTCCGTCTTCATTGCAGGCTGCCACGTGCCCTCCGAATTCACTCCAGTTGTTAGGGCTGCCTCTCCCCTTGCGCCCCTGGTAATGCTCCCCTGCCAAGGCTGCTCTCGGCGCCCTAGCATTATCCTAGTTTACCCTTCGCCTCTTTATGACGTTATCTGGACTCCCCATGCCTCTTTCCCTCTGCCCCGTCCACGGTTTACTTCGGAGCCCCTGGTTTCATCTCCGGTTTATTTAAGGATATCTTCCCTTCTTCCTCCCTCCTTTCCTTACCCTTCCTTCGTTAATTTTTCCCTTCCCTCCCTAGTTTTCTCTTTCCTCCCTCGTTTTCTCCTCCCCTCTCTTCCTTCCCGTTCCCTCCCATTCTCTTCCCTCCCTCGTTACCCTTCCCCCCCCTCCTTTTCCTTCTTTCCCTCCTTTCCTCTCTCTCCCCTCCCTCCACCTCGACCCCCTCCCTCCAGCCCCCTCCCCCATCCTCCCTTCCCAATCACTCCTCTCTCTTGTCTTTGATACTCCTGGAGTTATCCAAAGTTAACCCTGCGTGTCTCCATACTCTTTCAGTTGAAAAGTCCTGTAGAGGAGTTGGTTCCCGAAGACGGGGGAGAGGTCCTCGACTTCATCGCCATTCATCAAGTGCCCCCTTCCCTTCCCTCAGCCATCCCTCCCCCTCAACACCACACGCACATGCATACACAGACACGCACGCATACATACAGAACGCACACACGAACACAAGAACACCCAAGATCACCAGACTGCTTCTCCTTCGCCAGCGCCGCCGCCGCCGACTCACGGCCTAAGCTTTAAATGAAGAACAAAATACAATTGATCTTCCTCCGCAGGGACGGAAGCGGCCGCCCCCTCGTCGGCCCGTGGGTAAACCTCCGGAGAACCGGCCCGCCGCGCCTCTTCTGCCTGGGCCTCAAGAATCCGCTTAGGAAGATCTGCATAGACGTCGTAGAATGGAAGTATCCTTTTAAAGGCCTAGGTAGAGGTCGCCACGGGTGTGTGTGTGTGTGTGTGTGTGTGTGTGTGTGTGTGTGTGTGTGTGTGTGTGTGTGTGTGTGTGTGTGTGTGTGTGTGTGTGTGTGTGTGTGTGTGTGTGTGTGTGTGTGTGTGTGTAAAACACATGCGCATGTATATCTTAGACATTTTTTCTTTTGTAATACATGGGTGTGTATATCTTAAACTTGTTTTTGTAATACATGCGTGTGTATATCTTAAACACATTTTAATGTATGTGTGTGTGCGTAATACGTGTGTATAATATGTATATACTTTTTTTCAGGAAACCTGAGATCCCTTCAAGCACTTATTTGTTTATGGAATTGTTGCAAACAAGTTTTTTTTGACAGTTTTGAAACAGTCAGTGTATGAAATAGACCTTACACGCGTTTCAGGAGGCATTCTGGCCTTGTACATTCTGCGCTGCAACATTTATGATATTCTGTTTGTCATCGCCTGCTTGGAGGAGACTGATAATTGCTGGGTATTACACACATTGGTTTATCGTCTATAATTATTATCCGTGCTGTGTTGCGAAATTAAGGATGTTCATTTTCGCGATAGGTCATGTCAAGATAAATGCATGATAGGGGTTTGGTTCTCTTTGTTTTTTATTATGAAATTCTATGAATGACAAAATGGCAAAAACAAAATTACTCTATATGAAATAGGTTTACTGAAGGATGATATTCAGGAACATTTGGATACAGAAGCAGCATTCGTATTTATGTTGAAAAAGTTTTTTTTTTTTTTTTTTTTTTTGTTTCCTGATAGATATATATGAGATACGAATTAGTTAAATATTGTTATTGGCAATGCTGGCCTTTTAGGTGTTTAGTTAATGGCAGAATTCTTTCATATTTTGGGCAAAATTGTTATGGTTATTAATATATGTATTTTCATATTATCTTAATGAGTGTCCTTTTTTATTTTTCATTTTGCAAATAATATTTAGTTCTGCAAGCTCGCGTCCGTCCGTCAGACCGAGTATACCTGCATGCAATACAAATGTGGACTTATAATCTAACATTATGAAAAATATATCACACTGACGAATAATAAAAAAATGGAAAAGCAGCACACTTGATGCAACACGCGAGGTCCGGACGACACGCAGGGTTGACGTGCAATCAAGTACAGCGAAGCCAAGGACAGTGGCACACTTGGACGCGTTCGAACACAGTATTTCGAAGCAGCGCCGAGGAAGGTTGAGCACTTTTCTTCACCTCATTAAATTATTTTAAGAAATTCGAGGACGCGTTATTTTATATTTTCCTGTTTATTTATTCGGGTTTATTCATTTGTTTGTTTTACTTTTTTCGTTCCTTCAATAAAATCACAATGGCACCGACTTCTTTCTTTCAAAGTACAGGGAGTTGGAACACTTTCGATGCAGTGTCCAGAACTGGGCCGCACGTTCAATCGATAGCCAAGTAGGGCAGACTTTTGATGTCCTGCAAGATGCCGGGCTCATTTTTCACGCAATACAAGGGAACAGGTAAGTTTAGTAGCTGCCTCCCTTGGTCAGCGCAACACACACAACTAGGCAGTACTTAGCACACGTTTAGGAGGTCGTAAAATACGTTACTCAGAAACATTTGGGCGAGATTCGGCCCTGTTTACCTTTTTTGTGGGTGCATGTTTGGGCGTGTTTTTATTTCATTATTTTTTTTTTATTATTATTATTTTTTTTTTGGGGGGGGGCAATATGAAGAGAAAGTTAAATGTAGGAAAAGAGATAGATTTTGTGCAGAGCTGGCGAGGAATCGTAGGGACCAGACAGATGTGTTCACCAAAACTAAAATATTCAACTGGTGAACAGAGAGCTTAATCCTTTCTTCATAAAAAAAAAAAAAAAACAGGCGATAAAAATGCAAGCGCACGCGATTCTATTTCATTCGCCTTCTTGTCACACGGAAGCAAGTCGCAATCGGTGTAGCCAAGACGCAACCTCACAGCACCCATCATTTCTTCACGCAGAGAGAAAGCACTTCACAGCACTAAGCGGGCACACAAATACATAACTTTCACATCATCTACAAATTCGCAACACTTCAGTTTTGACACAGAACGCGGCATAATTTCTGTGCAACACAAGATAAACTTTATAGCAACACAGAATCAGGACATATTTTAATGCGACACACGGACCCAGGACGCACATTACAATGCAACACACTTGATGCAGCACTCAGGGCTGCGGCACTCTTGGTTGCAACAAACAGTAGTAAATAACTAGGGCGCTCCTAATGGCCGTCACACAATGCAGGGAAGTGTAAATATTTTTTTAACATTCAGCCTGTTTACCTACCAGGATTATTTCTGTTCTTTTTACCAACGTGGCTAGAATGACAGCCTGCGACGTTTAGGGAAGAAGTAGTTTGCGTCGTGATAAAAAATTCTTTATGTCTGCATTTACGTTTTTTTCTGTGTGTATACCATGGTCCGACCTCTTGTTTTGGTGTTCATTATTTGCAATCGAATAAACAATGAAATTCTAATCAGTCGCTTTGTATTGTAAAGGAATTTCCGTTGTCTGTATCAGTGTGTGTGTGTGTGTGTGTGTGTGTGTGTGTGTGTGTGTGTGTGTGTGTGTGTGTGTGTGTGTGTGTGTGTGTGTGTGTGTGTGTGTGTGTGTGTGTGTGTGTGTGTGTGTGTGTACTTTCCTTGGATCATGTAACGTTTTCCAGATGTTTGAATGCTTAGCAGGGTGGAAAGAAGTGGTAATGACGGATAACCGGGGAGAGAGGAAATAACCAGAGAGAAAGATAAGAGGGAGAGAGTCAGACGGAAAGTTAAACATGTAGGCAGACAGAAAGAGCCAATGACTGCGTGGGCGGGTGCATCGGGTGTGTACTTACGTGTGTATGTGTGTGTGTTTGTGTGCAGCTTGCTTATGCTTGTTTACATACAGCATATTCGCTCTCATGTGAGTATACCTAGGCTCCCATGCATGAACAGGTTTCACGTGTTCCGCTTATGTGTTCGTAGAAAGAGAGGAAGCGCGAGTGGAGTATTCCCTGAGTCGGATAACGCTGTGGTGAAGAGTGGCTACCTTAACAGCTGATGGTAACCATAGCAACCATGTGAATCTGTGAGCCGCATCAGAAATTCTCTCTTAGTCTCTCTTTCTCACTCGCGATTTTCTCTCACTCTCTCACTAGCAGTTTTATCATATTGTCTTTCTCTTTCTCTTTTCTTTCTCTCTCTCTCTCTCTTCTCTCTCTCTCCTCTCTCTCTCTCTCTCTCTCTCTCTCTCTCTCTCTCTCTCTCTCTCTCTCTCTCCTCTTCAATCTTCGTCTCTCTCTCTCTCCCTCTCCCTCTCTCCCCTCTCCCCTCTCTCCCTCCCTTCCCTCCTCCCTCCTCTCCTCCCTCCCTCCCTCCCCTCTCTCTCTCTCTCTCTCTCTCTCTCTCTCTCCTCTCTTCTCTCTCTCTCTCTCTCTCTCTCTCTCTCTCTTCTCTCTCTCTCTCTCTCTCTCTCTCTCTCCCTCCCTCCCTCCCTCCCTCCCTCCCTCCCTCCTCCCTCCCTCCCTCCCTCCCTCCTCCCTCCCTCCTCTCCCTCCCCTCCTCTCCCTCTCCTTCAATTGTTTCTTCAATTGCCTTTTCCTTTAAGATAAATTATTGCTCCCTTTCCCGCCCCCCTACTCCATTCCTCCCCACCTCCCATATTCCCCCTCCACTCACCCCTCTTACCACCAACCACCTTTCCCAAGCCCACTCACTCCATATCCTCCTTACCCACTCCACGCGTACCC